AACCGATACTCATAACATTTTGTACACTGGTTTAATTTAGTCAAACTTAAAATATAGGATAGCTTTAATCTTGATGGCACCTCTCATATAAACTAAATTTTTCATACTGCACTCCTCTGGAAGTATTTGTGGTAGAGTATTGGAGCTTGGTATGGAGATATATAAAATCAATTCCATACTTATGGACAAAAATGTGCGCAATAGGCGAGGAGGTGTGCCACGTCCCATACAAACTAAATTTTTCATACCGCATGTGTGGAAGAGTACTGGTGAGAGGATAACGAAAGAGGTTTAAGAAGGTTGTAGTCTGGAAATATTTTGAATAGGGTTGCCACCTGTTTGAAATGTTAAATTCAAATTATTTTATAAGTTAAGTGAATTATTACAATATTAGTATCAATCGAAAAGCGTTTGAAAAGGCTTCAGTTTTAAGCTACATGTAGAAGGTTGCTATATGTTTAAAAAGTCAAATTCAACTTGAATTAAGGGAATAATTTATCTGAAAGGAAGGTTGTAATTTAAAAAAATTTAATAGGATTGCCACCTGCTTAAAAGCGGAATATAATTTAATTATTCACAAGTGTAAATTGTCACACGAAAGAGTTTTAAGAAATCTTCAGTTTGAACATTCAGAATTTTTATGGGTATCAATCGAAATAGTTCTGAAAATATTTTATTTCTTAACCCCCCGTTTGAAAAATTAAATTGAACTAGAATTAAGGGAATTTATCGAAATATGTACCCCAATATGGGTTTCAGACGAAAAAGGTTTAAGAAGGATTTAGTTTGAAATATAGTGAAGGGGGTTAAAAAAGAGAAATTTGGAAATTTGATTTATTTTTTGTTAATTTAAATAAGTTTAGTTTAATTGAAATAAACTACACCTAATGTAATGCGCGGAAATTTCATACACTTAGCGCAGCAGGCGAGAGCAATCGAGTTATTGTATAAATCAAACAATGGTTGAGATTTTTGTACAAACATGCAGCAAACATTTAGAAACAAACTTTGCTGATCACTCCATGTTAACGTTATTTGCACTTACCTTAGCTCTCAATTGCAGCTAAGCTCTTGGTGGAAATGGGCTATTAGTTTTACAAACTCTTTACAAAATACTTTTAAAATAATTTTGTGTAAACACGTAAGATACACCGATTGTAATAATTCACCTCAGTTATTACTAAAATTTACTTCGACAATTTAAACAGTTGTTAACCATTTTCAAAAATATTTTCGAAATAAAGCTTTTTTAAACCTATTTCGTTTGAAACCCATATTGTAATGGGATTTAATATATTACTTAAATTTGATTCAAATTTTCAAAGGGATGGCAACCCCAAAAAATATCCCATATGCTAACACATGTTATAAATAGTCTGTGTGCAAATTTTTCCGTCCAGCCGTTTCACTGTGAAGAAATAACAAACATTCCAAAAAAATTATGGTGATTTCTCATTAGTTTTGACACATTTTATGAACATTTGGCTACAAGCTTTAAAAAATTTCAGTGCAATATCTTCTTTCTTAGCGAAAATATACAATTTTGAAAAAAAGTGAGTTTTGCCCAAAATGTGCCGTTAAAACATATGTGTACCAGAAAATAATCAATTGCACATTTTTGAGGTAAAATATATGTTCCACTACACACTGTGCGTTCTCGTTCGCGATAGAGCCAGATATCAATGATCGCAATTTCTTTGTAGCATTAAAGGAGCGCAAGCAGCTATTGCAATCGCAGAGAACAAAAACAAATAATAAATATTCCTGCACGATCTTGAGCTTTTCGACTTTTCGTTTATTACAATCATACAAATATTTATATATTTTTCTTATTTTTGTTCATTAAGAGGGTGAGCAAATATACCTATTTACATACTACATACAGATGAATGTAGTTGAATAGATCCGAAATAATTTGTATAGCGTTATAAGCGTATTGACTTAAAAATTGAGCATTGAATCGAGAGCTGGCGACGCAGTCTATCGCTTATATTGATGTAGATTCTACATAGTAGAATATAGATTGTGTAAGTTTCTACTTATGCTATAGTATATGTATATGTATGTACATAGATATGTACATAGATATGTATAGCTACTCAGTTGTCGTTGCGGATTTGTAGCTACAAACAGCGGGCGGCAACAGTAGGCAGCTTTTTAATTAGCTTTTGAGATACCTCTCGTCCATACATACATACCTGTCGGCAAACATGAGCTGTCGTCTACGAACAACTATGCGAAAAGAGTGTTGAGATTCATAAGAAAGTATTCGCATATTTCAATTAAGGTGAGTGCGCATATCTCTTAGGCCCCCAACCTGCTCGCGGTTCTCTGCTCGAGAGATCTTTGTTGAAGAGTCTTATTAATAATTTTTTTCCTAGACGGCGCCAA